TGAGGGTCACTGATGCTCAGGCTTAAACAGAAGGAAGAAACCTACATTGAGTTTTCAATTATGAAAGACATACCTACACAAAGCCAAAAGCCAAGCACAGGCAGTATGAACTTGTTCTAATCAGCTTTTTTTCACTGCTCTGACTAAAATGCCTGAGAAGAACAATTTTAGAGGAGCAAAAGTTTATTTGAGGGCTCATGATTTCAGAGGTCTCTGTTCATAGGTAGCTGGCTCCATTCCGCGGGGCTTGAGGTGAGGCAGAACATCATGGCAGAAAAGTGTGGCAGAACAAAGTAGCTCACCTGATCATCAGGCAGCACAGAGACAGATTCCACTTGCCAGATACAAAATATATCCCCAAAGCCATGCCATCAGTGACCTATTTTCTCCAGCCACACCCTACCCACCTTCAGGTAACACTCAGTTAATCCTGCCAGGGGACTAATTCACTGATTGGTTTAAGGCTCTTGTCAACTAGTCATTTCTCCTCTCAGGGTTCTTCCATTGTCTCAGACATGAGCTTTTGGAGGATACTTCATACTCAAACCATTGCAGAGCTCTTTATCTCTTAGAAAGGATGTGTTTCTGCTCCAAAAATCATTCTTCTAAAAAATGCTTTTATTAATGCATTATAGGTACACAAAATAGCAGGGTTCATTTTGATAAAATCATAAATGCATACAACATAATTTGCTCATTTTTATTTCTTGGTACTCCCCCTTCTTCCTCTTCCTGTTTCCTGTACTTCTCTGGTCTTCATTCTGTTTCCATTGGTGCATGATAGTTATATATAACAGCAGAGTTCACCCTGTTGTATCCAGTCGTGCACGCAGCATAATGTGGCTCATTTCACTGTGTAGTTGCTTCCCTTTTTCACCCCTCCTCCCTACCCCACAGCCCATATCCTTTCTCTACTTCACTGTTCTCTTTTTTATTTTCATAAAATCCCCCTAATTTATTCCTGATTTCTTTCTAGCTTCTGCATATGGGAGAAAACATTTTGCCCTTGATTTTCTTAGTCTGGCTGATTTAATTTAGCATGATGTTCTCAAGTTCTCCCATTTAACAGAAAGTTACAAAATTTCATTCCTATTTATGGCAGAGTAAAATGTTATTGTTTATATATGGTATATATTTTTTCTTTATCCATTCATCTGTTGACAGGCACCTAGGTTGGATCCATAACTTGACCATTGTGGATTGCACTGCTATAAACATTGGTGTGCATGTATAACTATAGTACACTGCTTTTTGTTCTGTTCAATAAACACCAAGGAGTGGATTATCAGGGTCACATGATGGTTCTATTCCTAGTCTTTTAAAGAATCTCCATATTGCTAAAGCATATTAATTGACCAAATGATGCAGTGTAAATACCATGTGTATGAGACTTTCTTTCCTAATGGTCCTCCCTCAACCCTACTCTAGCCACTGAAGCAGAAGATGAAGTATATTAAATCTAGTAGGACCTCTGCCCCTTGAATTTAGAGGTGGATTGGAGTCGTAAGACACCCCCAAACAATTTGTATGGATTTCATTTGCTCATAAAACCTCTTTGAGGCAGCAGTTAACCTGGGTCACAAAGAGAACCAGACTCAGGATGATGGTCAGTCCTCCCTGGAGGATGCTCCTCATCCAGAGACCCCAAGTGCCTGGCACAAGGGAACTAAAGAGGTAACAAATGAGTCTTAAAAGAACCATGAGTGTATAACTGAAAACTATCTGGTCTGAGCATGTATCTTCTTGAGCTTTGTTTCTGAATTATTGTTAAATACAAAACAGCAGATGTTGGCATTAAGAAAAATACCACCCTCTTCTGCCAGCATGTTATACAGTTATACATCAGAGTACTGAATTCTGTTAGTCTTGGAGAGCTCAGGAACAGCATAAGCTATCTCTGCCAATAGTCAATGATAAGTTGCAAGCCATTTTTCCAGCAGAGTGTGCATATCTCAAGTATGAGGCCACACAGACCACAATAGAACCAGCTTATCTACTTGGCAGGGTATCCTTGGAAACCCAGCTAAATCAGAAGTCTGTATTCTTCCAAACTTTGCACCCTTAGACCAACATGTCCCTCTGCTCTGTCCACCACCTTCTTCAGTCTCTGGTAGCCATGACCTTGCACACTACTCCAATGAACTTGATTTTTAGACTCCACATATAAGTGGTATCATGCAGTATTTGTGTTACTGTGGATGACTTATTTCACTTAGAATTAAAGAGTGTGGTCTATATACACCAAAAGAGACTGCTCAATCTTTACAAAGAAGCAGCTTCTGTCATTTGGGACAACATGAATCTTAACCAATTTTTATGACTTTTAAAATATCACTGAAGTGGGGACAGGAAAGGGGAGGAATGGTGGAAAAAATTTACTAAATTATGCTATTTACATATAGAAGTATAGCACAGTGGATTTCACTTTGTGTATACAGTACTGATTTTTAAATCTATAAATAAATAGAAGACTAGTAGAGTAGAGGAAGGGGAACAGGGAGAAGGAGGAGGGGAGAGAAGGAGGAAGTACTGATAACTAATGGAGCAAATTATATTGTATGAATGTACGATTATGTCAAAATGAATTCCAATATTATATATAACTAATGAAAACATAAAACATTAAAATACTATCATTTCCCTTCTGGTGATATTATTTAGGGGAAGCTATCTTGATGAATACAACTTGTTGTAGCTTTTGAAAAATGCCATCCATCTGAGCACATCTGAGAGCTATCAAGACAGTGAAGAATTAGAGGTATATTGGCTGGAAAAGGAAAGCAGTCCTGAGAGGCAGCACTCAGTGTCCAGAGCCAGATTCATTCAATTAGAAGTATCTGCAAATTGCAAAGGTATGGCTAAGACACAAGAGGCCAAGCAGTATATTCAGCAGGATCATGAGAACAAGAGGCAAACTTGGAATTTGAGGCCTGCATAGGAAGAGAAGCTGTGGTGAACACAACAGGCTTTTGGATATTATCATAAAACTCTGCATTCTCAATCCCTAGGCCCTAAGTATCAGGTGAAACATAAATGGGGGGAAAAAGAGCAGCCCTCATAAGTGATTGAAATCCAGATTTGAATAATTGCAGTTCCTGATCTGATTAGGATCCAGAAGCATTGCTAGTTTCCAAACCTAACTGTGAAGCACAGCAATTGAAAGGGGAAATAAATCTTTACCACACTGATTGTGTTCAATCATCCTGATTCGGTATACAGATTTCTAAATACACAATAACCAGAGCACCTAGTCAGGAAGTAGATAAACCACCATAAAATGTGTTAAAGTCACTGAACTAGAAGAAAGTGGTAACATTCAATTAATCTTATAATGTATTGTTTGTAATCATGTGGAAGTTTATAGGAGGATCAACAAAGGAATAGTAAACAGACCGTGAAGCCAACAAGTGAATAAATGGAAAAAAAATAATATAAACAGAAATGTTTGACCCAAGGAGGGAGAAAAGGCAGGAAAAGGGATAAACAGTTGCCTGATGGCAGATGATGGCTTTAAATCTAAGGTTAGCAGTAAATTATATTGAAATAAGTAGCCTAAATGATTAAAAGACAGACATTGTCCAAGTGAATAAAAAAACAACATATGTATACATATTTCTTTTTAAAAAGAGAGAAATAGCAGGTGTAACTAATGGTTTCAAAATTTAAGAGAGTTGAGGGAAGAATATACCATGACTTCATGAGCCCCAAAGGAACCTGATACGGCCACATTGACTTCTTACAATCATCTTATGGATAAGGAATCACTATTCAGCTAAATGCAGAAACACAAAACAAGAAACAATAGAAAAATGTACATTCTCTTCAAGTAAACATGGAACATTTATACTGAGAATGAAATTTGTCCATAAAACAACATGAACAAATTTCAAAAAGCCAAAAATATGCAAAATATTTTTCTGACACAGTGGAATTAAGCTGGATTCGTGATTAAAATTATAAAAAGAAAATGTTCCCTTGTCTGAAAATTCAGAAACACATACACTAAATAACAAATATAATACAACATGCTGGGTATAGTGGCGCATGCCTCTAATCTCAATGGCTCAGGAGGCTGAGACAGGGGGATCTCAAGTTCAAAATCAGCCTCAGCAACTTAATGAGGCCTTAAGCAACTTAGGGAGACCCTGTCTCAAAATCTAAAAAGAGGGGTGGGGCTACGGAGGTTGCTCAGTGGTAAAACATTGTTGGGTTCGATTCCCAGTACTAAAACAAAAAAACAAACACAAAGAAATGGAGAATTAGAAAATAAATTAAAACAGCAAAGTCTGTGAGCACATCAAACATTCTGAGGTAGACTAAAACCCTGGTTCAAGGAAATATTTAGCTCTTAAAGTAAATATGAGAAAAGAATTGTGAAAATAAGTTATGTGTGAATCTACATCAAGAAATTAGAAATAGGAAAGTCCATGAAATCCAAAGGAAACAGAAACAAGAAAATAACAAAGAAAATTATATGATCATAGAAAGAATGAACAAAGTTACAAGTTAGACCTTTGAAACCCTACACAAATTGATAAACCTTTGTCAACATGAAAGAATAAATGTTCAATATCAGATAAAAGTTACATAACTACAAACACTATAGATTTTAAAATAGTAAAAGGGAGATATGAGCCAGATGTTATAATGAATTAGGCAATTTGAATGACTTATCAAAATATCCGAAGCTTACCAAATACACAAATCTGAATAATATTCTGAATAGAGTTAGGTTTGTTTTTAAAAAAAATGGACATGAAATTTAAAACTTTCCTATCAAAAAATTTTTCTGAAATTTCACTGGTAAATTATAGCAAATCTTTACAAAAAATAAAAATGAAAAATGAGCCCATACAAACCATCTCATACTCTGGAGAATAAAAACAAAGAAACATTTTATGGCTTCCTTCATATAGTAAAAAAAAAAAAACCCTAACACCAATGTTTGAAAACAGAATTGTAAGAATTAAATGAACAAAGATGTAAGACACTAAATAAAATATTTTTACAGAATGTATTCAACACACTTGCAGAGATTTCACAAAAAAAGGTAAGTTACAGAAACAAAATTTTGTTTCATCATTTGAAAATCATTACATGTAAGTCACAAAATTAACTTGACAGAACTGTCAATTCAACAAGGCAGAATATATACCTAATAAATGATGAAATATGGATAGTTTCTATTTCTGATACAATCTCAAAGTAAATGTACAGTTCTCATTATTTTTCAGATGATATCCAAATAGTGATATTTTCTTGCAAACTATTAGAACTCAGATATAATGAAAACAATGATTATCTCATGAAATATAATGAGATTGAGGTTGGGCTGACATCTGAAATTTCTGGGCTTTATGTATTTATCACAGATGGGAGATGACATCGTAAGTCTTCCCTAGATGTCCTGATATGACCTGTCAAGAAAACAAGCAAAAAAGAGCTCAATATAAGAGATGTGTGTACATCCATATTCGTAGTGACATAATTCACAATAGTCAATGGTAGAGGAACCCAGGAGTCTAGTAGTAGATACATGGGGAAAGGCACGTTGTGCCAATACAGTGGAATATTACTCAACCTTGAGATGAAAGGAAATTCTGATGTATGCTGCAACATACATAAACCATGTGGCCAAACTGCTAAATACAATAAACCTGTCACAAAATGACAAATACTGCATGATTCCAATTATAAGACTTGAAGAAGGTAGTCAAATTGGTAGAGATGGAAAGTGGAAGGGCCACCAACCAGTAGGGAGGAAGGGAACAGAGAAGAGTTTTTAGGTGGAAAGTGAATTTCCATTTTGCAAGATGAAAAAGATTGGGGATGTGGATGATGGTGACGGATGCACAGAATCTGAATGCACTTAACACACTTAAAAATGGTAAAGATATTAAATCGTAGTATGTGTCATTTACCACATTTTTATATTAGCTCCATGCAGGAGATGGAGTTAAGAAGAAAGGTCTGGTGGAAAGTGGAGGTTGACACAGTCTAAATAGACACAGGGTAGGAAGAGTGGGAGAGTGGACAGCAAAGGAAGAGTAAGGAAATAGAAACTCACCTGCGTCTCCAGAACCATAACGCAAGGCCCAGCAGGAAGATCAGCGTGGGCACTATAATTGCCAGAATGACCAGGCCAATGGGGATGGAGCGTCCTGCCGTGGGGAGGGAGGACACAGACCATCACTGCGAATCTCATGCATTCACTCCCTGGCCTCCCTGTGTCCAGCTCTGCAGCCTTCATTTTCTAGAGGTCCGTTCTCCTCACCTCCCTCCCCTCTCTGACCACCACCTCTCCCCCTGCCTTCTTCCTCCTCTTCCCCATCCTTCCCAGGCCCATCCTCTGTGCTGGGGCACCCCCTCCCTCCACCTCCAGCTGGGCCCCAGCCCTTCCTCACCCCAGTAGAGGACGAGGTCCTGTCCCCCTAGGCTGCTGTGCTTCACCCTGCAGGCCAGGCCAGCCGCCTCCCCAGCTGCCACATCCAGGGTTGCTCGGAGGTTCCAGGTCCCATCTGCGTTGGGCAGGAAGTCACCTTGCTGAGTGCCCTGCTGTTCCTGCTCACCTCGCATCCACATCACCCACACGGGCTTTGGGTAGAAGCCAGACACATGGCACACCAGCAGCACATGGCCAGGTTCAGGACTGGGGCCACTGGACAGCCAGGCCTTGGGCTTCACTAAGACAACAGGGGCAGGGAGAGTGTCACCTGCTGGTGCTGACCCAGAGCACATGGAAGCAGACTGATGTGCACATTAAGCCCCTCTGTTCCTTTGGGAATGCAATAAATCCTTGATGAAGCCCTCCTCCTCCCTGGGTGCTTGCCTACTCTGGGATTTAAGGAGAACTGAAAGGGAAAAGGCTGGACTCACCTTGTCTCTGGAGGTCCACCTTCCCTGCCTCCAGGACGCTCAAGAGAAACCGGGGACAGGTTTTATAGAGCAGGTGCTCTATTGTGTCAAAGATGCCTTTGTAATTTGCGATTAATTCACAGACTTTCTGTGCCCTGCTGCCACCGCTTGGGGCAGGCCAACAGGTAGTATTGATGCTCAGTAAATCCAGTCCTTTTATAGCCCCCTTCAAGAAACTCCCGATAGCTCCCCCAGACTGTAGCTCACAGCCTGCTATGCCCTGGAATTCAAAAGGATCTGTGCAGAAGGAAAACAGAAATAAAAGTTACTAACCAGCAAACAAGAAGAAAGCAATGTGGGGAGGACCCAGGACACAGATTCTGGGTGAGGAAAAAGTGTGGAATGTGAATCAATAAGTTATCACAGCATTTAGAGACTTTCAGAGGTAGAGCATGGGGGACACCTGCGCCTCTCCTGAATGGCACAATGATGTGGTAAAGGGGATGTGGTTATAGGACAGAGGAGAGGCAGAGGGGGAGGAATAGTGCTATGTAGTCACCATCACAGATTTCCCAAGGGAACCAGGAGTCCACAGGGAAATGGACCTCGCTGTGTTTGAAAGAGTGAATAAGAGAAGGAACCACACTTTAGATCACTGAGACACAAGTAGGAAAATAAGGAGAAAGTATCACCAGAGACACACCAGGGGCTGGTCATGCAGCAAAGCCATTCATGTGTCAGAGAGGAGTGAGGACGCAGCCAGATCAGAGTTTGTGGAGGAGAGGAGTCGGACAGGGAGCCTGCTCTAGAGAAGTGTGTGCATGCAGCTGGGTAAAGAAGGGAGGAGGGGGAGGGACCAAGGGAGCAGAGAAGCAAGCCGGTAAGCAAGTCAAAGGAAGCCCTCAGTTCTGAGGACTGGACTCACACTCCAACTGGAGGTCACTGATTCGTTCCTGCACTTCCCTGGTAATTCCAAAGAAGTAGACTCGGAAGATCTCCTCCAGCTCTGTGACCTCCTCATCACTGAGGTTGCCCTTAGACCAGGGCTTCAGGAATATAGCAGTGCCTGTGTCACTATCCCAGCCATGAATCTGCAGATCTTCCAACCAGCCTGAGCCACGATTCAGGGTCCAGGTGCTGTTGGCAAAGGATGAGATTTGCATGACATGGAATGAGGTCGGCCCTTGGTAGGCTGTGAAGAAAACCAGAAAAGACTTAAGTGAAGGAGAGAAAATAGAGGGAAAGAAAAAACATGGATAGTGGGAAGATGCAGGAACCAAGATCCCAGGGTTTGCAGAAACTTAACACCTGACACATTTGAGAGCCCCAGGGCCTCAGGCTGCAGCCCCACCTCCAGCAGGTGGAAGAAGGCTGGAGTCAGGAGAGGGCAGGGCCTCAGAGTCCAGGTGCACCTGGGCAAGTGCAACCTGCTTTCAAACAAACCCTCTGTACCACTTTAGGTTGCTGCTTACCTTCCTGATTGTCACCACCTGAGAAGAGAACTGCTAGCAGTAGAAGTAGCAGGAGCAGAATTTCTCTGCCAGAGGACCTCTGACTCCCAGCTGGTGTTTGATCTCTCATGTCAGCAACCCTTTTTCTCAGCACTCAGTAGTGACTTCCTCTCTTTCAACTGTCAAATTTCTTCCTCATACAAAGTGTATGTCAGAAGAGAAACGTGCCTCCCACGGCCCCGAAACTCCCCCTCCACCTCTCGTTTCCCCTGCAGCCCTGAGCTCTCAGACACAGTCTCACCTCCAAGGGTTCCAGCTTCTCTCCAGGGCCTCAGCTTCTTTCAGATGAGCTCAGAAACATCCCTGCATGATTCTGAAAGGTCACTTCATATCCTTAATCCTTTATTTACATATCTGTCCATCAGAGGAGAATACTGAACAATTGATCAACTTCCAATCTTCTTTAATCTGGAATGATTCCTTCATCAGACGAACTCAGGCTCTCAGCCTCCCACTGCCTTCTCTCATTGTCATTAGCCCTTTCCAATCTAATTTCTGCTCTCCAGAGGTCCTTTTCTATTACTCGGATTGCCGGTTGCATCAAAGCCAGCCTCTGTCCCAATCCTGGGGACAATGTCTCTGGAGGCAACCTTTGGACTCATTGCTTGAACCAGACCTTCTAGAGTTGATTATTTTGTCCAAGATAAGTGGTCACCTTCTGCACAAACTTGACAAGTTACTAGTGTCATTCATGAGAATACAAGTATCAGCTGTCCCTGGTGCCTCAAGAGGATACTTTAGGTCATGCATCCCCTATCCCATAAGATATTTAAATGGAAGTCTTGACCCTTTATATCACACTGGTTAAAAAGGACAAAGAAAAGGGCATAATGAAGTTTGCCTGATATAAGTTTACCAGAGAGGAAAATATATAATTTTGCATATTAAATGAATAATGTTTTCCTAGCTCTGCATAAGTCCTCGCATATGAATCTCTTTTGTGCTCTCTGCAGTGAGTCCAGATTCCTGGCTGTCCTTTCACCCAGTCCTCAGGTGACTGACTATTGCTCATTTGCAATGTCTCTGGTTTCTGTCCAAAGCTTGTTTAGGTGATGTGCATGTGGGGTGAGCAGCAGCAATGGGGCATTAAACAAAATTATCTTCTCCCTGATGCTGATGTGACATGGTTTCTGTTACAGACATGAGATGATGCTGAGTCTCCTCTCTTAATGTAGGAATAGTCTAAAGTAAAATGACTGGATCACGGGAACTGTAACCTAATGGATCCATGTTGGTTTGAATGCATGGGACTGGGTGGTAACTGCAGGCAGGTGGGGCAGGGCTGGGGGAGGTGGGTTTGGAGGCATGTCCTGGAAGGGTGCATTTCCCTGTGGCCCCTATTCCCTTCCCTGTCTTTGCTTCCAGACTCCAGCACAAGCTGAATGGCTTTCATCCTCTGGGCCTTTCCACCATGATGTGCTGCTGCCTCACTTGACCAAGAACAGTGGACTCAGTCAGACATGGACTAAACCTCTGGAACTGTGAGCCCCAAATAAACTTTCCCTGCTCTTAGTTTTCTTCTCTGTTCTCTTGGTCATGGGAAAGCAAAGCTGACTAAAACTGTCTTTGGCCATCCTGGGTGTGTTAGCTGATGGTGCAGCTGGCCTGTCTAGTGGAGTGAAGCTAGCAGCCCAGCAGGCCAGGACATGACCCTCTGCTGGGGTCAGGGAAATGGGAGTTGGAAATGTGAGCAGGTGGTCTTGGTCCTAAGAGGAAAGTTTGGTGATGCCTGATGCAGAAAGAATTGTAAGAAAGGAATAATCATGGGGGATTTGAGGAACAGGAAAGTGGGACACAAGGGGCACATAGAACCATGAGATTTGGAGTTAGACAAGGAAACATTCCTTGGGAGGAGAAGGAACAGAGTGATTGGAACAGGATGCCTGATGTGGCTCATGCCCAGAATGTACATGTTCAGTAAGGAAATTAGAGGATGGAGTAGAATCAGCGGTGGGGTTAAGGTGCAATCCAAGTGTGTGTCCAGTATCCACAGTGAACCCCTTTCCATGAGTTTCATCCCCTTAGCAACAATGGTGCCCCTAATACTTTTGATAATCCTTGTAATTTGTTTTAAGATGGACTCATGGGTTCTTCACATTTCCTTATCTTTTCCCAATGTCTTGTTCTACATTCCATTGTCACCTGTCTTGGCTTTTCTCTCTTAATCACTCTGCTTTATTCTCAGTCACCTTCTCCAACATACCTAGAGTTTCTCCCATTTCTGTTCCTCACCAACTCATGACAGTATACCCCATGGGATGCCTCACCATGCCCCCCTCAGTGCGATGGGAACCCCATTGCCTCAGAACTTGGGACAGCTAGGAATTTCCTTCCTCCGTTCTACTCTCCCATTTAATTTTTTTCCTCCTTCTACCTAATAATTACTTGCACATATAAGGCAATTTGCTTTCTGAAACTCTGAATAGCATTCTTCGATTAACCATTTTTACTGTACTCAACCCACAAAGCCCTGATGCCAGTTCCTTCAGAGATTTTTCTGGACCCTTGAATGGGAAGCAGCTTTTCCCTCCTCTGTGCCCATAGAGTGTCAACTGGACACTAATGCATGCATGCCTCACTTCTTGCCTGTTCTGCAGTTACCGGGAGTCTTCCCTTATTTTAAGCTCCTTATGTATATGGACATGGCATAGGTCGCTTTCTTACATGTAATATTTGCTCAGTGGAAAACATAAATACCTCATATCTGTGTTAGACTATTGTGCTGGTTTTATTTTTCCATTATATTTCTTTTACACTTTGTGGTAGCTTTTGAGTCATTGATGTCTCTGTAGATGTCTGATGTTTGTTAACTTTGTTGAGAGGTTCCAGCCTCCCTTACTATCCTCTTCTTCTCCTGAAATCTTTAAGAGAAATCACAGCTTACTCTCTTGAAACACTACATATAATGAGACAACTGCTTTATGTTTGTTAGGAAGAAAGAAGGAGTCGGGGTGGGGAGACAGAGACAGAGAGAGAGAGAGAGAAATGTGAAATGTGATGTGGGCATAGATACCCCAAAATGGTAAAGTCACATGTGAAATGTGATGTGGGCATAGATATCCCAAAATGGTAAAGAAAAAGGAGCAATTGAATTTGTTCTCTAGATTGAGATGAGATCAAGGCTACTGAATGTTTATGGAAGACAATTTCCCAACAAGAATGTCCTGAGAGTGCCTTGGCTAGACTGTAGTCCCTTTAGATTCCATTCATTAATTCAACAGCATTTCCTAAGCACTGAATTGGCAGAGAGTCACACACAGGTGCTGAACTCGTGGGGGCAAAACCGCTGAGACCTTCTCTCTCTGACGTGGGATGTTTTCTTTTCCATAGGTCCATGTCCTTCTTACTGTGTCTATGATTTGTCACTTTAAAAATATTATTAAGTCAACTTTATTAGTGTAAAATTTTCAGTAGAATGCATGAATCTTAATTGTATATGGTTCTATTCATTTCAACAAATATATTTCCTCACATGAACAACACCACCATCAGATGCAGGATCCCATAACTCCTTCTACTTGGTTTTGTTCAGAACCACACCAGTTGGGCCTTTTGCAACCACTCTCCTGCTTTGTGCCTCTGCGAGTATGTATTTCCCGAGCTACTAAGGTGGGAATACATTGTAGGTATTTTTTTTTATATTTGGATTTTTGTTTTCCATTTATCTTAAGGATATAAGGGATCTATGTTGCTAATTATATTGGAACCTGTTCCTTTCTATTGCTGAATGGAATTTCATGTATAAATATTTGTTATTCATCATGTCATGAATTCATCTTGTCAAACAAAACTTTGGTTTGTTTCTAGTACAGGTCACCTTAAATCAAGTCATTGTTTTGGTTTGGGTTCTTCTGATTTTTTGTGATTTCTATTTGTTTTTGTTTAATTATCTGCCTGAATTAAGTTTGTAAATTCTTATAGCAATGCAATTTGTAGTTACTGATGTCTCTGCTCAGTATTTTGTTTGTTTGTTTACAAGTGTTTCTTCAGTCCCTTTCTCCTTCCCTCTCTTTCCTACTTATTGAAAAAATAAGTTGTTATTTACCCAGTCTACTAGGAGTAGCACTTGGGTCAGTGTAGTTTCATGGTAGGGAATGAGTGACTGTGCCTATCACCTGAAGCTAGTAAAGCTTCTGCCTTTTGCTGGTGTTTGAGGCACACACATAATCTGAGCAGCTGGCAAATCTGTCCTGGCTTGTGCTTTCTCTTTGTGCAAGTCCTCGTGTGTAACCAGGAGAGCTTGATAACTGTCCCTCTTTGGACCTTCCTCAGCCTGTGTGCAGCCCTCCAGACCCCTGCAAACAAATGGACACCTATCAGAGTCCACTATGCCTGTCTCCTCTCCCAGGTATCTTTGCTCAGCCCTGCCCGGTCCTTCTCTCCCTCCAGTTCTGCAGCCTCTAGCAGCTGGGAGGCTGACCTTTGGCTTTTTAACCACCTGTGGCTATTGTCTCAACAAGCTTTCCGGGCGTGGAGCCTGTCTATGGAGTTCCAAGTGGGGTCTACCCTTCCGTGGCAGCAGGACTGCTGATCCTCAGCCCAGTAGACTGTCTGGCCAGGGAAAGGGCAGGCGCTTCCCCATGTTAAGTTGTGCAGCCCCCACTGTTCTCAGGGAGCCTCGGGTCCTTGTTTTTGAGCAAGCTCTTCTCAATTTGTTGTCGCCCTCACTCATTTCCGGATGCCAAGGTATTTTATTTTGGGAATTTTATCCTGTATTATCCCTGAGTTTGGGGCAAAGGATATTCTGTTCATTGCCCTGCTATTCTGGAAATCCTGCTCCAAGTGTAAATTTTGTCAAAATTACTGAACAAAACATCGATTTGTAAAAATTGAAGCAAAATATAAATTGAACGAGAACACTACCCAAGTTGATGCCATTCCTCGGAGCCAGGGGCTATCTGAAGTAGATTTAAAGTAGGCTATTTTACTTTACCTTCTAGGGAAATATACTCTAGGGTCAAAAAAATTAATTTTCAGTAACTATCAGTTACTGAAATAATAGTAGTTTTCAGTAATCACTTTGGTGGTCGTGTTTACGTTTTTTTAAGTCTGACATGTGGGCATTTGTGGGATGTAGTGAGTATGTTATGACATGTTACTAGGTAAATTCATTGG